GTATAGCTCTTGCAGCAATTCCAGTGCAATACCTCATCAAATACATTAACTTCATTTCATCATTTGATAAAAAAACCACTCAACATGATTTCAAACTCCTTTACAAACTGTAAATACTCAGCTGAGTTTCCGTCGAAACACCGAGGTTCATATTTAGACAGTTTGGAATTCCTATTATTCCTAGACGGCGAACCATGAACAACAGACTAATCACGCTGAGCATCATACATATCATTACAACTGGCAAGCAACTCAGCATTACTTACTTCCCTGCTCGCTTTCAATACGCTATGTCCGTTCTTTGACCCAGGAATCACTGAAATTGACCAAAAATTCCAGAGAAGTTCCAGATAATACTTGTCCAAAGAAGACGGGTAGACACCAGGAAAGACGAACAGAAAACTATCAGAAACTGTCAGCCAACTCTCAGAAACCGTCAATGTCCAGCTCTTGCTACGCTGAACCTGTGGAGTCTTCAAAAATAAACTTATCCAATTTTTACTACTATGTAAAAAATGAACATATTGTACATTACTTTGTTTTAACCATAAACTCTGTACTTTGAACTTTACCTCGGGTTTTGAATAAATATATAGTTCTGCCTCCGACCTCCGTCTTCTCCACCATCCCAACTGCCATCGATCAATTCTAACCACCTGCTTTCTATCTCAAATTTTCGCAGGAACACCGTAGTTTCTTCCTACGTACTTTGGTCGACCTCCGGCAACGTCAACAGTGGAGAATTGGTATTGGAGCAGTCTTCCCGTAGCGCCTCCGGAGTCTATTACGTTTATTGTGGATTTCTGGATCTTTGTAAACCCAAGTAACGAAACTTTAATGTATTCTTCCCGTAACTAAGCTGATTTGGTATTTTATTTTCTATTTGAATTTGGGATACTACGCTAACAGAGTAAAAGTTCCACCACAATCCTCAGGCTGTCCCTGGAAGACTTTCAATAACAACTTTTAATAACCAACAAGAAAAACCAGAACACAGATTGGCGACTCGAGAATCCTTTATTCTTACGCCAATTTGTAACCAACAGTAAGGTGATTACACAAGGTCTATGAATAAATGTTATAACAATAAATCACTATATTACTTCTGATAGTTTTTCTATCTTCTACTTAACAGCGAACGATGAGACGATGACTGATGGATGGATGACTCTCGCGAAAAATATGGAGGAGTTGGGTTTGAGCAAACAACCATGAATTGACCGTCCAATCTACACCTACATTGTTAGGGTATATAACGCAACTTCCAGCGGTAAGGTATTCCGCTTGAGAATGTATTGTGACATGCCAACTTCATTGTGTTTTCAGAGATTGCTAGAACAAGACCAATTTTCGATATTCTCGAGCTTTGTATAGCCTATCTAAAGTTTCTATAGGCAAATGTTGCATTTTCATACTAACTCCTAGTATACAGAAAATAGCTAGTGGGATTATTTTGAGAAGTGAAAATTACAAATCACCCCCAAAGCATTTCTGTCACGTTACTTACTAACTATTTAAACAGAAAAAAAAACGAAAATAGAGTAAGATGAAAGTAAATGATGATGAGTATGTGAGGATAAACGTAACTGAAACAAAGATTAGTGAAAACGCACATATGTACCATTTTAATATATTCTTTATAATATACTTTAAGTCTTGCTGACGAGTGGCAACTAGCCCGAAACTTTGGTTCAAGGCTTCCTGCTGATTTCCTCCAACTATCGAATATCATCAAATCAATATGCACCGTGATGGCGAGCTACCTAGAATTCTGGCCACATTGCAAACCTGACTGACTGATAGAATTCAGTCTGCACCAAAGAAAAGAAAGGACTAGACACGTCACACTAGTTACTATTATCCAGTGAAACTACCCACTACAGTCCTACAGGAGGTCAGTCGCGAGTTTGAATACTTCAGTGGTAACGTCTATAACTGTTTCTTCAAGGGGGTTGCAGACAGGCCTTGCTGACTGGTGAGTGGCAACTAGCAGGAAATCTAGGTCTATGGCTTCCTGTGGTCGATTGCCTCCAACAATCTAATATCATCAAGTCTCTAGACTATTGATTTTTTCATATGTCATGAATATCGGCCAAATAATAGACACTTCATACTTTGTTTTGACAAATCATTTTTTCTTCTTTTTGATTGTAGCTTGATTCCACACAGTACGTTTCTTAGTAGAAGTAAAATTCCTTGCTGTATCATTAGTACTGTTTTTGGAATAAAGCAAAAATTATCATCATTATTATTAAGGAATTTTCAACATGTGATATCGGTAGCCCAAGTTTTCCAGGCCGACAAGAGATATCAGGTGTGCGTCGGCAGGGGATCGAACCCTGGACCATGTGCATGGTCGGCGAGAGTTCTAAACACTGTGCCATCGACGCATTTTCATTCCAGAATCGATTACTCATGGATAAATACATGAGCAACTCGTGGATTAACTAACCCAAAGAACAAACATTCATGACATTAACACATGACTCGCCTACACTAACTCCAGAAAGTTGATTTCAGAATTACTCATCGCTCTTGACCAGAGTTACAAATTTACACACACAAAGCAAACACAACTGATCTAATCCGATATGCATAAGTTTTGTACAGGATATCACAATCATGGCATTTTTGCTCAGAGTTTTAGACAACAACCACGATTCAGTCCCTGTGAAGAAAGGAAGATGTTTGAGATTCGGACAAGAATTTATGACAGAATAAAGGCCACAGACAGTCTTAACCACATCAAAAATTTATGGTCCTCAGTTTTATTGCCTATATCACACTTTCATTCATCTAACTGAAAGCAACCTTCTACTTGTTACTCATGAAAGGCTAGTGCAGCATCTTTTTTCTGTAGAAACACTGATGTACCATTGATTCGGTTTGTTTTCATGTTACATTGCAACACAAACTTACAGACAGGAACCAGCTTGTTTTCACTTCACTAAAATTAACATTGTAAATGTAAACCGTCAAAAGACATGACATCCACTCCCTCGCTCATATCGCTGCATACAGACAACCATAGACATCCATTCGACTAAGTCAACCAACGTTCACATATTAGACAGAGGAAACACCAAGAATGCTAGAGAATTTTTAGAAGCCTGGCCTGGTACTCCAGTGAATCATCAATCAATAAACACATCGACATAGACAACATTAACCGATCGATAAGAAGGAAATCTCACAAAAACAAAGGGTCTAACTTCAGGTCAAGGAGACAATCAACACCAATAGCAATACAAGTAACCTAGAGAGTGTGAAAACACAAAAGCAGTCAATCACGTTCAAGGCCGCCACCACAAGTAATAAACTCGTGGAGAGATCGAAAAGCTCACTTCATTGAAATGAAGTATGCGCTAGAGATGTTGCTTAGTAAGGCAAAGAAAACACTTCGAAAATAAACCATCCAGCTCAGGGAACACAACTACATCAAAGTCATCCTCCACCTGAGCTACAAATTTTCTCCATCATATCTAAACATAAATCAGTTGGTGCGTAATAGCATACATTACTGCCTGATTGATATGAGAAACTGTCCACATCAACAGCACTAGGGCTTGCTAGCACAATCAAAGCCACCTAAACACTGGATAGTCGTTTGGGGCCGATTTCATAAGCGGTCTAAGCCTGTTTGGCTCGGCTCACAGTGGAACCAGCCAGCCATTTGGGCAAACTAGTTATACATTGGATTCAATTTAGTGTTTGTACAGTTTGAGAGAAAGTTTCATCATAGATTCCTCCATGAACCAAGATTATTCAAATCGTCACGACATGTGATCTGGTAATCAAGAAACCAAACCAAGCATAAATCCATGATGCTATACACCAAGTGATCATTTGATTTGACCAGTTGGATACCACCAACCAAGTGAGCCAGTACTGTTCGCTCACATTAATCAGCGATAATCTCTACCATCAAGCATTAATGCTTGCTTTCTCAACTGACATGCAACCAAGCAGATCACAAATTACGATGTGAATAATTTCGGTTACCAAAGGGAACTATGGTAAAATTACACCGTTCTCCGGCCATTGAGAGTGGAAGACATGAAAAGATTAGCTGTCTTTGATCATAGGTGCCTGCGTTCTATCTCCCGTGTGAAGCAGTATAATAAGGTGAGCAATATTGACGTTAGGCGTCGGTCGAGTGCTAGGTAAGGAGGGAGAATCAATCAACGAGGCTGTGAAATTACATCGACTGAGATGGTTAAGACATGTGTTACGTACGCCTCGACGGGCAAAGTTAACTGACATAGGAAAAGGTTGGGAAAGAGCTAATGGTGGTCAGACTAAAACAAAGCTTCGTTAGTCAGTGAGATCCACAACAGTTAGTTTAAGCCAACCACGTAGGAAGGTGTAGACTTCCGGGTTGGGGTCCTCGGGACGGTAAAAACCAACTGTGGCTGGAAACAATTGGTGATATGGATCAAAATCGTTCTCAATGGCTGGCGCAGATGCATCTATTTCATTGAAACTATATTGTTCCTTGTTATTACTACTCCTTTGTCTCACACCTCTGTTTACTGTCTCTATTATGCATTTCTTATACTTTCTTCTCTTGCTTTGTGTACTTCATGAAAGGAGTCTGGCGACTTGAACTGCCACACATATGTGCAAAGTTCTATGTCGAAAACAGACAGACCGCTCTCCGGAACTGTGTAACTCGGAAATCGTTAAATTCAATCAATCGTTTGAAAAAAAACACCTCCATATATTAAAACGAAAATGTATTCACAACTTGCACACAGTGAGGAAATGTCCTGCTTGATGCTTCTCAGAAATAAAAAAAAATAACAATAAAACAATCGTAAATTCTATCATGGTACAATTTCATTTTTTTTCAAAGAAAAACCTAAACATCAAACATCATTTTTTTTAAAAAAAAGCAAAAGACAATTTGTTTGAAAAGAAGATTGAAAAATTGAACGTTGAAAACTAGTTGAACGAAACAACAAGAAAGAGGTTAAGAGGAAAACGAAAAAGATATTAATTTAAAGTTCCGCTTCATCGGGTAATTCAGAAGTGAATGCTTCACGATTTTCATAAGCCCAAAATCCTTGTAGATCTATCAGGATACTGATTACAGTATCACCTTTACCACTAAACAAATGGAAAATAAAATGATACATATATGTAAATAAAATAAATCTCTGTATTCGCCATTGACAGAAATGAAATTTTGACGGTAGGAATATAGATTACAAGGGGCTTAGAGACAAGATTGCATAGGATTAGAAAACAGTTACAACGTATGCAAAATTAATATTTGATAACGATAACTGGAGAAATAATAGTTTCAAAGGCGAATGAAAAGGTGATAATTATTTTCACCTTGATATGAATTAAAAGAGGCTTAGAGACAAAAGTTACGTAAGGATAGAACGAATTACAGGTGTGAACAAAATGAGAATGGAATCAAATTAAAATCAAGATTTTGTCAACTTGAAATGTAAGTTAAGGAGGTGTGTGAATATAGATTACAAGAGGCATAGAAATAAAAAAAGCAATTACGCAGGATTAGAATATAATTGTAAAATGGTTACTCTAAACGGATTACAAGTGTGATCAGGATGAGCATGGAAACAAACTTAAAATAACTGATTTTATAACTGAAAAAATATGGAATGAATTGAATGAAGACAAAGAGAGAAAATTACACACTCAGATAACAAAACAGCAAATTAAGAAGGATAAGGGAACATACCGAACTACAACCACCATGGACCTATTTTGTTTCTCTCTTTGCTTTCGTTCCCTTCATCCTATTTTTCAGTTATAAAATCAGTTATTTTAAGTTTGTTTCCATGCTCATCTTGATCACACTTGTAATCCGTTTAGAGTAACCATTTTACAATTATATTCTAATCCTGTGTAATTGCTTTTTTATTTCTATGCCTCTTGTAATCTATATTCACACACCTCCTTAACTTACATTTCAAGTTGACAAAATCTTGATTTTAATTTGATTCCATTCTCATTTTGTTCACACCTGTAATTCGTTCTATCCTTACGTAACTTTTGTCTCTAAGCCTCTTTTAATTCATATCAAGGTGAAAATAATTATCACCTTTTCATTCGCCTTTAAAACTATTATTTCTCCAGTTATCGTTATCAAATATTAATTTTGCATACGTTGTAACTGTTTTCTAATCCTATGCAATCTTGTCTCTAAGCCCCTTGTAATCTATAATCTATATTTCTACCTTCGAAATTTCATATCAAGTTGAAAATTATTATCACCTTCGTTACTACGTGGAATTAAACAAATAATAATTGTATCGAAGATATGAAATTTGTGAAAGCAAAACCCACCGGACACATCTGTTAGTGTAAACTCAACACGTTGGGGATAGTTGAAGATGTGATTCATTGGTATAAGCACTAAATTTCTAACCAGTTAGTTAGTTAGTTATGGGATCGAGACCTGTTTTAGTTGCCAAGTTTTCAGCTTACTATCTAGTGCACAACCCTGTGTGGAGATATATATATATATATATATCTAGTAATTCGTTGTTTAAAACTTTAGATGTTTCTTCAACACTGATGTAATGTCAGTCAGTTTTTCTATACCATAGTTCAGAGACTTGGCACGTCACGAAAAGCATTTCCGACAGACCACTGCAAACTTTTATCGACAGCTGCCTTTGCCTCATACTGAAGATCAGACAGCCAGGGAGAATTAACACTAAGAAACTCCACGAACCGACCACCATTGAAGAACCTATTGCTCGACAAATATTCCAGAAAAATAAATGGAAATGGATAGGACATAGGCTGATGATACACACTATCAGGTGACATCGGACGTTAGGCCATCGCTCGAGTGGAACCCGAACGGGAGTCAACGAGTTGGTCATTTACCCAAGGTTGACATGATAGCCTATAGCCAATCCTGGTGCCAATTAGAGAGGATTGCAGATAAGAGAACTAAATGGAGATGTGCTGTTGAAGCCCTACAAAAAGAGTGAGTAGTTCTCGTTCGCAAACACTTTATAAACAGATAAAGTTAGACAATTCAAGCTTCCATATGTCGAAATCAGGTTCACCAATGACATGCTGTGTTGCAAATTGGTTGGAGGATTTCATTATCAGCTGACATCAGTTAGAAAACCACCAGGGAAGTACTGAACAGCTGTTTTGTCCTTGTTTGGGACTCTCCGTCAGCACGCACCCACTGACCGGATTTAGAACCCAGGACATCACGGTTGCATGGCCAGCCCGTATACCATTAAGTCGCTAGGACCCATTCCAATGACTCATGAATTCCAACTTCTGCCAATTCCTGGGTTCGAACCCTGGCGGTTGGTGCGTACTGCCAAGGAGTTTCGAACTAGGACGAAACGGCCGTCCAGTACTCCCAGGTGGTTTTCCAATGGTTTGTTTTAACTGATGCTAGCTCATGATGAAATCCTGCAATCAATCAAACAAAATACCTACAAAACCAATACTTGAAAATACCGCTAAATTGATTAATATGCCTAAACTACTAGCTAATTAAGACATCTCACTTATTACTAATATGTAAAAGAAAGCAATGAACACTAAAACAACAATGATATAACGTCATACAAAGTGTTATAAAAACTTCAACATTAAGAATCATTAAGTTTCAGAATAATGAAAGAAATTCATGCCACAATTAGATGTTTTTGGCGTTATCATGTTTTCTGCGCTGAGTGAATGAATGGTTTAATAATTACGAAGCTTTCACTGTCCGCCTAGACAACATCTCCAATACTTACTTCTCAATGTATCTAGAAGGAATATAATAAGTGACTTTATCGATCATTTTTACAACGACTCTGATTGTAACAACATAAGTTCGTTGCCATAGTCACCGTAATGACATAAGTAACATAATTTTTAAATGTCTTAACCATAAACTTTGTATTTGAAAAAAATATTTTGAGGTATCCATTTGTATTGAACTAATATCTAGGCCATATGATGGTTTAAAGTAGGAAGCAGGTCCCAAAGTTACACATACATATTTACATTTTTATGATTTTGTGTTAGTGCATATATGGCTTGTTTCACCAGACACGTTACTGTGCATACCAGCATCTCAGTATGACTGAATCCAACTAGAGCATGCAATATAAATGGTTCGACTACGAAAGCTTCACAACTACACCAGAGAGCCCAGAGAACACAGCCACATAAAAGAAACAATCAGTAGCTTTAATCCATACAAACATAATGAATAATATATATGGATGGCGAACAGCAGTGGAATCTAGGATGCGCATTTCGTCCTATCTCGAGACTCGATGGGAACATCATCACTCACTGCAGAATACAAGTACATCCAGCTGACGTCGAGTCCCAAATAGGACGAAATGCGTGTTATCCTGGATTCCACTGCTAGTCACCACATACAACAATTAAATAAATGCCTAGACATCGTCGAAGCATCTACACAAGAATCCGACAACATGTCAACCTGAGACCGAGCACTTCGGGGTTCAATCAATCGACAGGTATATCTAAAAGTTCAATTAAAATAATGAATAATAAGTCGTCAAAAAGCTGTCAGTTCATTTGGGTTTTCATTAGTCAGCAAGTGTAATGAAGACCTGAACGCTTACACTTGACAGCCTGTGATATGTATCCATATGATATGTGTTTTGTTGTTGACAGTCTATTATATTTTGCTATGTGTATATGGATCGATACTCCATTATAACTGACAATATGCTTATGTCTGTCCACTAACTAAATAAACATGTATGACCTTGTTATCACATGACATTACAACCAATCATGGTAAGACGTTATCTTATTGGTTCATGTGTATTAGCCATTTTCATATATACCTTTGTATTAGATTCTTGTTCACACACATTTCGTACATCTAAGTACCCTTCCACTCACACCCTTGTGTGACATTTATTTTCCTTGTCTGTAAAACACAAGTATCATCGTAAACCTGGTGGTCTTCTGATTTCCCTCTTTCCGCGTCAGGACTATTAACTACTCGACGAGTACATCACATAATTGGCGACGGGGAAAACTCTAATAACCACTCAGCAGCAGTACATAACAGCCTGATTATTAAAATTATTTTTCAATTCTTAATTTGTAGGCATTTTATTGATTTCAGGTTTGATTACAGAGATTGATATATCAGTTACGGGGAACCAGTGAAAACCAGAGAGAGAGAGAGAGTACTGATGCCAATCTAGGATCAAATTTTAAAAAAATCAATTCTCGACGCACTAATTCTCAAAAGTGATTACTTACAGAACGGAGGTTGCTTGGTGTTCCAGTGAAAAGCGTGAAAACAAATACTTGCCAATGGCGTGGTTTAGCTGTGGTGCCAAAAAAAATTGAGAACTGACAGAAGTTAGAATTCACCGACCATTGAATCCCCCATTAGTAGTTGAACGGTCAACCAGCTCGCCTAGTAACCTGAAGGTCTTGGGTTCAATCCCTTGTGGGGTCGTCACTGGTGAGCACAAATGAATAGTCCCAAACGAGGACGACGAAACAACTATCCAGTACTCTGTGATTTTCAATACTTCTCTGACTTATATCAATCTGTGGTCAAACTTGATACAAAACTACATTGATTGATAGTACCCCTCAATTAGGTATCATATCTTCTCAATAAGGAAATTAAATATCAAGTGCCCATTTAGTTTAATCACCTCAAGTAAATAAACTAAGTAACAGTGATTTCATATACGACTAATTACAATGTTTAGATATGATAGAGAAGATTTGTAGCTCAGGTGGATGATTCTGATGTGTTTGAGTTCTCTGAGCTGGATGGTTAATTTGTGAAGCTTTCATCGCCCTACTAGGCGACATCTTCAGCGCACACTTCAATTCGATGAAGTGAGCTTTTAGATTTCTCCAAGAGTTTATTAATCATCTCTCCTGGTGACCTGATCTTGAACGTCGTGATTGCTTGTTTATGTGTGTTTTCACACCCTCTAGGTGGCTACTTGTGGTATTGGAACTGATTGTTTCTTTGACTTGAACTTTGACCCTTTGTTTGTGTGTGTGAGGTTTCTTTCTTATCTATCAGTTGATAAATATTTTGTCTATCTCTATGTGTCCATTGATTGACGATTCACTGGAATGCACGACAGCCT